GACCGGGCCGCGGGGACACTAAAAGCCCCGAAATCATCTCAAGATAACCTCAAGATGGTATTTAGTGTGTTGAAAAGCCTCGTAAGGAAATATTTTGGGCGGAGCGTGAGAAGCGGCTGGTAAAAGAGGGGGGGGGGGAAATATTTACCCAGGGTGATCAGCAGTTAAGGAGGGGGGGGGGGGGAGGGGAGGTTAACGTGGTCATAAATAACCTCACGTGTGCCGAGTTATCTGGTTGTCACCGTAATCACCGCCCTTGTTATCGCCTAATGACCATAATAATCCTTCAGTTCTTGCCCCCAAGGTAACTTGGCCTCACGATGACCTCTTGTTTACAACAAAGATAATTAATGCAGTGTTTTTGTAATCACAGACAAACACACACACAAAAATGCACTATATATGCCACCAGATCACTGTCGAAACAATATGCATGACAAAGTTAACTTTGAAAGTATTCCTTTTTTTTGGAGGGGGGGGGAGGCGGGGTTATCTTGAGATGATTTCGGGGCTTTAGTGTCCCCGCGGCCCGGTCCTCGACCAGGCCTCCACCCCCAGGAAGCAGCTCGTGACAGCTGACTAACACCCAGGTACCTATTTTACTGCTAGGTAACAGGGGCATAGGGTGAAAGAAACTCTGCCCATTATTTCTCGCCGGCGCCTGGGATCGAACCCAGGACTACAGGATCACAAGTACAGCGTGCTGTCCGCTCGGCCGACCGGCTCCCTCGAATATTGACCGGGGGTCACTATTCCTACAGAAAATAAAACTGACTAAAGAATAAGGACATTAGAATAAAGGCAACTGCAGAAGGCCTATTGACCCATACGAGGCAGCTCCTATTTATAACCACTCAATCCCACTCATGTACATGTCCAACCCACGCTTGAAACAATCAAGGGACCCCACCTACACCACGTTATGGTTCCACAAATCAACAACCCTGTTACCAGTATTTACCCAGGTCTTTCCTAATTCTACACGATATTAATTTGGCAAAGTAGCAACTAATTCCAGAGGTACAGAGGACTTTGTGTTGGTATCTGGGTAGGGCGGGAGAGGAGGCTGAAGCTCCCAGCGCTCCAGATTCTGGAGCTATTGGTGGTGCTGGAACTTCCAGAGGGTAGTCCTGGAGCTGGTGCGGAGTCTGGAGGTTCCAGAGGGTAGTCCTGGAGCTGGTGCGGAGTCTGGAGCTTCCAGAGGGTAGTCCTGGAGCTGGTGCGGAGTCTGGAGGTTCCAGAGGGTAGTCCTGGAGCTGGTGCGGAGTCTGGAGCTTCCAGAGGATAGTCCTGGAGCTGGTGCGGAGTCTGGAGCTTCCAGAGGGTAGTCCTGGAGCTGGTGCGGAGTCTGGAGCTTCCAGAGGATAGTCCTGGAGCTGGTGCGGAGTCTGGAGGTTCCAGAGGATAGTCCTGGAGCTGGTGCGGACCCTGGAGCTTCCAGAGGGTAGTCCTGGAGCTGGTACGGACCCTGGAGCTTCCAGAGGGTAGTCCTGGAGCTGGTGCGGAGCCTGGAGCTTCCAGAGGGTAGTCCTGGAGCTGGTGCGGACCCTGGAGCTTCCAGAGGGTAGTCCTGGAGCTGGTGCGGACCCTGGAGCTTCCAGAGGGTAGTCCTGGAGCTGGTGCGGACCCTGGAGCTTCCAGAGGGTAGTCCTGGAGCTGGTACGGACCGTGGAGCTTCCAGAGGGTAGTCCTGGAGCTGGTGCGGACCCTGGAGCTTCCAGAGGGTAGTCCTGGAGCTGGTGCGGACCCTGGAGCTTCCAGAGGGTAGTCCTGGAGCTGGTGCGGACCCTGGAGCTTCCAGAGGGTAGTCCTGGAGCTGGTGCGGACCCTGGAGCTTCCAGAGGGTAGTCCTGGAGCTGGTGCGGACCCTGGAGCTTCCAGAGGGTAGTCCTGGAGCTGGTACGGAGTCTGGAGCTTCCAGAGGGTAGTCCTGGAGCTGGTGCGGACCCTGGAGCTTCCAGAGGGTAGTCCTGGAGCTGGTGCGGACCCTGGAGCTTCCAGAGGGTAGTCCTGGAGCTGGTGCGGACCCTGGAGCTTCCAGAGAGTAGTCCTGGAGCTGGTGCGGACCCTGGAGCTTCCAGAGAGTAGTCCTGGAGCTGGTGCGGACCCTGGAGCTTCCAGAGGGTAGTCCTGGAGCTGGAACGGACCGTGGAGCTTCCAGAGGGTAGTCCTGGAGCTGGTGCGGACCCTGGAGCTTCCAGAGGGTAGTCCTGGAGCTGGTGCGGACCCTGGAGCTTCCAGAGGGTAGTCCTGGAGCTGGTGCGGACCCTGGAGCTTCCAGAGGGTAGTCCTGGAGCTGGTGCGGACCCTGGAGCTTCCAGAGGGTAGTCCTGGAGTTGACGCGGAGTCTGGAGGGATAATCTAGTGATGGGGTTGATCACGTGTCACTATACAAGCCGATGGCACCAGCCTATGAGAACGGAAGTCCCATTGAAAGGGGTAAATGGCCGTTCAAATTGGTCATATTTCCTTCAGTTATAATGGTTGCATGGAACGGTGCGGTATGACGAGAGGGTTTTTGCGCACGTGCGTGTGCGTGCGAGTGAGTGTGCGTGCCAGTGCGTGTGCGTGCGTGCGAGTGTGTGTGTGTGTGCGTATGTAAACAAACTTGAGCAAAACTCGCGGCGGCGTCAATGTATGATAAAATATACATATGTATAGCACTGTTGGACGTGTATACGAGGGGGTGGGAGGGGAGAGTAAGGGTTGCTAAGGGGGTAATGGGGGTGTCATATAACGTGAATAATGGTAAGGGTATAAGGGCCAGGAGTCATTAGTAAAGGCGCCGATAGAGTGATTTATTGGCTACGGTCTGTGGTGTCTCCGTCACACACTGGTGGGCCGTCACACACTGGTGGGCCGTCACACACTGGTGGACCGTCACACACGGGTGGACCGTCACACACTGGTGGACCGTCACACACGGGTGGACCGTCACACACACGGGTGGACCGTCACACACTGGTGGCCGTCACACACCGTCACACACTGGTGGACCGTCACACACGGGTGGTGGTCACACACCGTCACACACTGGTGGACCGTCACACACTGGTGGGCCGTCACACACTGGTGGACCGTCACACACTGGTGGACCGTCACACACTGGTGGACCGTCACACACGGGTGGACCGTCACACACTGGTGGACCGTCACACACTGGTGGGCCGTCACACACTGGTGGACCGTCACACACGGGTGGACCGTCACACACGGGTGGACCGTCACACACGGGTGGACCGTCACACACTCCTGTGCCAGGTAAGTCCACTACGGGCTCACCATAGCCCGTGCTACTCGGAACTCATGTTTCGAGCCCGTAGAGCTACTGGGTAATTAAATCCACTTATATTATAAGCCACTATACGAAGGTTGCCGCTATAGCCAAGACATCGGCATAGGAAATACTAGACGAAATCAGGCAGTGTAGAGGTGAGGTCATTAGGAGAAAGCGCTAAGCCAGTGTGAAAATACAGTACTAATTGGATGGGATATGAGGACCAGGAGCTGGGATATGAGGACCAGGAGCTGGGATATGGGGACCAGGAGCTGGGATATGAGGACCAGGAGCTGGGATATGAGGACCAGGAGCTGGGATATGAGGACCAGGAGCTGGGGATATGAGGACCAGGAGCTGGGATATGAGGACCAGGAGCTGGGATATGAGGACCAAGAGCTGGGATATGAGGACCAGGAGCTGGGATATGAGGACCAGGAGCTGGGACATGAATACCAGGAGCTGGGATATGAGGACCAGGAGCTGGTATATGAGGACCAGGAGCTGGGATATGACGACCAGGAGCTGGGATATGAGGACCAGGAGCTGGGATATGAATACCAGGAGCTGGGATATGACGACCAGGAACTGAGATATGAGGACCAGGAGCTGGGACATGAATACCAGGAGCAGGGATACGAGGAAACGATTGAGAAACGGTGTCCAACCACTTGAACCATCGGGGAATCGAACGCCGACCTTGCACAAAAAAACATCGAAGCCTTCACTGCCCCGAAGAACCCGTATAGCGTGGTCCCAGCAAGGCAGTGTGCGTATAGAGCCGAGGCCTACACCAGGCGGCGCTGACGGCGGAAGCCGGCGGAGGGGCGGCGCAGGAAGTGGCCGGCACTCCTGATTGGCACTCGTCGGAAGACACATAAAAGAGACAGAGACAGCCTGCCAGGGGGCGCACGGGGCGGTCGGAAGCCCTGATAACTGAGAGGGTGAGGGTTGAGGGCTAATGACAGATATACAGAGGGCCACAACGCTTCAGGATAATCAGGGAAGAGACGGAGGGCCACAACGCTCCACAAGCAAGGGACGAAGGGCCACAACGCTCCACAAGCAAGGGACGAAGGGCCACAACGCTCCACAAGCAAGGGACGAAGGGCCACAACGCTCCACAAACAAGGGACGAAGGGCCACAATGCTCCAAAAGCAAGGGACGAAGGGCCAGAACGCTCCACAAGCAAGGGACGAGGGGCCACAACGCTCCACAAACAAGTGACGAAGGGCCACAACGCTCCACAAGCAAGGGACGAGGGGCCACAACGCTCCACAAACAAGTGACGAAGGGCCACAACGCTCCACAAGCAAGGGACGAAGGGCCACAACGCTCCACAAGCAAGGGACGAAGGGCCACAACGCTCCACAAACAAGTGACGAAGGGCCACAACGCTCCAGGACAATCAGGGAAGGGACGAAGAAGTGGACCACACAATAACCTACAAAAATATACATTTGCTATTCTCTATCTGAACGTTTATCCCTAACGGTAAACATTTTGACAGGAAGTGTGGTCCGTCAGTAACACCACATCCTCTCTTCCGTCTGAGGCTACCCAGGATGACCAGGGGGCCACAGGTGCCACCTGGAGTGCCATGCTCCCACACACACACACACACACACACACTATGCGCATTTAAAATTAAGAAAACCCAATGTAAAGCATCACAGAATTTAACTACTGACGGTCTAAAGGCGAGGCGTAAGAGATGATGGAGCACCACCAGGTCAGCACACACACACACACACACACTACACACACACACACACACACACACACACACACACACACACACACACACACACACTCACCTTATAGAGTCATCTGGGTAATGGGTATAATGAGTGGGCGGGCGGTGGTGTAGGGCTGACGGCGCGGGCTGACGGTGTGAGCGGGCGGTGGTGTAGGGCTGACGGCGCGGGCTGACGGTGTGGGCGGGCGGTGGTGTAGGGCTGACGGCGCGGGCTGACGGTGTGGGCGGGAGGTGGTGTAGGGCTGACGGTGTTGGCGGGCGGTGGTGTAGGGCTGACGGCGCGGGCTGACGGTGTGGGCGGGAGGTGGTGTAGGGCTGACGGTGTGGGCGGGCGGTGGTGTAGGGCTGACGGCGCGGGCTGACGGTGTGGGCGGGCGGTGGTGTAGGGCTGACGGCGCGGGCTGACGGTGTGGGCGGGAGGTGGTGTAGGGCTGACGGCGCGGGCTGACGGTGTGGGCGGGCAGGCGCGGGCGTCCGGGCCGCCAGCAGCAGCAAAGATCTGCAGCAAGTCGTGGCCGGCTGGTGAGTCCCACGGCGCCTCAAGTACCGTAACCAATCGGCCATTGTGGAGTCGGCGGCCCTCGCATCTGTAAATATGTCGTTACTGATCACCCAGCCAGGGAGAGGTAGGGGGAATGGAGACGCGCCGCCACCGCTACTCCTGGGCCGCCTTATAACCTTGATGGCTCTTCCAGAGATCCGTCCGTAATATCAAGCCCGAGTCGACGTAGCCGGAGCCAGCCATATAGATAAAAACAGGGGGAGGAGGAGGAGGAGGCTGTTACACGCCATCTCGGCCAGAATTCCCTGTGCCATCGTAAATAAGTGGAGAAGGGTCCGGGGGGCGAGCCATTTAAGCGAAGGCAGCACAATAGAGGACATGATGGAGGCGGGTCGGACCAACACAAACCAACATAGAGGGCGCGCCCCGTCATCACTCATCCGGAGGGGATACGATACTCTATGAGGGGAATTAGAGACCCTTCATTAATATGTTCCGTGCCATTCCAGCATCGCTCGCCGTTTGTAGTGCGTTATTACAATGTTTCTTGTTATTGTTTATGATTAGCTACTTGGAACAAAAAGTTCCAAGTAGCACGGGCTATGGTGAGCCCGTGTGTTTGCTCTTAAATCACACACATACGCTTAGTTGTGCTCGAGGTCCAGTCATCAATTGTGATTTCCAATACGCTCGAATTTTGACGGAATCGACTATTAAAAATTATTGTACCATAATATTGACATTTTCTATGCATAGACCCGACGGGTTGAGTGGGTTCTTAGGGTTCGTACGCTTATAGGTTAGGCACAAACAGATGCACTTTTGAGAAATGGTCGATTGGGATACCGGTTGGACCATCATATGTAAAATTGAAAGCAATGTTGAAAGTTGGAGGAACTAGCCTAATCTTGAATATATTTATCATGCACTGAAATTGAAATTGAAATAAGTTTATTGAGGTAAAATACACACGAAGGGATGAGGTAGCTCAAACTATTCTCACCCCGTTCAGTACATCGTGTTAATATATACATATATACACATCACAAACAATAAACATATTACCGAACATTCTGAGAGATAAACATATACATTTCCTCCTTTACACAAGTAATTTTATCATGCATGTGTTGGTACAATTACTGTAGCTGTTATCATCGTGTTGTTAGACCGAGACTGATGGATATCTGCTGTGCTATCATATATATATTGCGTCCTAGCCTCCTGAAATGATAGCACATTTTGTAACTATGGTCGATCGTAATAGAGCTCCAGTAAGCCACTTTTTTTTACCACTTTTTATAAATCAGGGGAAAAAAATAAAAAATAAACTCTTATATTCCTGGGCCTAGTATAGCACATATATGTACTATATTAGGCTTCAGATAGCGCGTATCACGCCTAGAAAGGTTAAGTTTGGTACTTATTAACAGAAATATAAAATATTTTCCGACTTGTCCAAATCACTTCAACAAAAGTCTACTTTCTGGTGGACCGTCACGACATATTGGTACTTTCGACAACCCAACGTTACTATATGTACTTTCATTTTAAGAGTCTAGGCTGATATATTGGCGTAGGTGTCCGCGCGGCTCCACGGGCGTCCACAGCCATATTGGCGCGTATATTTTAGCTTACCATAGCCTACTGCCAAAGTTTCCTAAATTTTAGCTTACCATAGCCTACTGCCAAAGTTTCCTATATTTTAGCTTACCATAGCCTACTGCCAAAGTTTCCTATATTTTAGCTTACAATAGCCTACTGCCAAAGTTTCCTATATTTTAGCTTACCATAGCCTACTGCCAAAGTTTCCATAAGTACTCTGTGTAACGTTGGCGCCCGTGACACAGGAGACGATGGCGTGCTTCCTGCTGGTGTGTGTGTGTGTAGGCTGCATACTGGTGTGGGGGAGAAGCAGGTGTGGGGCAGGAGGAGCAGAGGTGTGGGGCAGCAGGAGGAGCAGGTGTGGGGCAGCAGGAGCAGAGGTGTGGGGCAGCAGGAGCAGAGGTGTGGGGCAGCAGGAGCAGAGGTGTGGGGCAGCAGGAGGAGCAGGTGTGTGTGGGGGGAAGGAACAGCCACCTCCTACTGGGGAAGTGAAAGCTATACCAGTAGTTATTAAAGGCGGGATGGAGAAGGTAAGGAGGCTGCAGGTCCTCACAATGGAACGTGTCTGACTGGACAAGAGGTTCCTTCGTCTCATCCGTCGGGGTCACAGTAGGCGGCCAGGCCACACCCCTGGTGTGGCCACATCCCTGGTGGCCACAGTACGCCGCCAGGCCACACCCTCTGGTGGCCACAGTACGCCGCCAGGCCACACCCCTGGTGGCCACAATACACCGCCAGGCCACACCCCCTGGTGGCCACAGTATGCCGCCAGGCCACACCCCTGGTGGCCACAGTACGCCGCCAGGCCACACCCTCTGGTGGCCACAGTACGCCGCCAGGCCACACCCCTGGTGGCCACAATACACCGCCAGGCCACACCCCTGGTGGCCACAATACACCGCCAGGCCACACCCCTGGTGGCCACAATACACCGCCAGGCCACACCCCTGGTGGCCACAATACACCGCCAGGCCACACCCCTGGTGGCCACACCCCTGGTGGCCACACCCCTGGTGGCCACAATACACCACAGGGGGCCACAATACGCCTCCTTGCCCTACACAACCCCTAAACACAGTATCATCACCGCGCGGCCCTGCTCCTCCCAGTAGGGATCCGAAATAACAAAATGCTTCACAAAGGAGCCCCTCGCCCCTCCTCCTCCTGGTGTCCCTGGCAAGCGATGACAAGGGCGGTGCGCAGCCTAACTGGCCGTAGGTCCCTAAGGAGACGGCACAGGCTAGGGACGAGGAGGGACCAGAGACCTCTATGAGGGCTTCAGGAGCGCTACTCTAGGGAAGGTTGGAGGTCAATGGCTGGAACGAATCTCGCTTACAGAGTACCTTCAGCGGTGGCTTTGTGAGAGCTGATGGCCCGGGGAGTTGGTGTGGGGTGTAGGGGTGATGGGGAGGGGGTTGTAGCGATGATGGGGGGGGGGTTGTGACGGTGGGGAAGGGGATGATTTGGCGATTGTGAGGGGAAGGGGGAGGGTTATAGTGTGTTAGATATTACAATGATGAGAAAGTGTGCAGGAGAAGTGGAAGTCTGGAAGTGCCCCAACACACAGTAGACTAGAAGTGGCCCCAACACACAGTGTCTGGAAGTGGCCCAACACACAGTAGACTAGAAGTGGCCCCAACACACAGTGTCTGGAAGTGGCCCAACACACAGTGTCTGGAAGTGGCCCCAACACAGTGTCTGGAAGTGGCCCAACACACAGTAGACTAGAAGTGGCCCCAACACACAGTGTCTGGAAGTGGCCCAACACACAGTGTCTGGAAGTGGCCCCAACACAGTGTCTGGAAGTGGCCCAACACACAGTGTCTGGAAGTGGCCCCAACACAGTGTCTGGAAGTGGCCCCAACACACAGTAGACTAGAAGTGGCCCCAACACACAGTGTCTGGAAGTGGCCCCAACACACAGTGTCTGGAAGTGCCCCAATACACAGTAAACTAGAAGTGGCCCCAATACACAGTAGACTGGAAGTGGCCCCAACACACAGTGTCTGGAAGTGGCCCCAACACACAGTAGACTGGAAGTGGCCCCAACACACAGTGTCTGGAAGTGGCCCCAACACACAGTAGACTGGAAGTGGCCCCAACACACAGTGTCTGGAAGTGGCCCAACACACAGTGTCTGGAAGTGGCCCCAACACACAGTGTCTGGAAGTGGCCCCAACACACAGTAGACTGGAAGTGGCCCCAACACACAGTGTCTGGAAGTGGCCCCAACACACAGTGTCTGGAAGTGGCCCAACACACAGTGTCTGGAAGTGGCCCCAACACACAGTGTCTGGAAGTGGCCCAAACACACAGTGTCTGGAAGTGGCCCCAACACACAGTGTCTGGAAGTGGCCCCAACACACAGTGTCTGGAAGTGGCCCCAACACACAGTGTCTGGAAGTGGCCCCAACACACAGTGTCTGGAAGTGGCCCAACACACAGTGTCTGGAAGTGGCCCCAACACACAGTGTCTGGAAGTGGCCCCAACACACAGTGTCTGGAAGTGGCCCAACACACAGTGTCTGGAAGTGGCCCCAACACACAGTGTCTGGAAGTGGCCCCAACACACAGTGTCTGGAAGTGGCCCCAACACAGTGTCTGGAAGTGGCCCCAACACACAGTGTCTGGAAGTGGCCCAACACACAGTGTCTGGAAGTGGCCCCAACACACAGTGTCTGGAAGTGGCCCCAACACACAGTGTCTGGAAGTGGCCCCAACACAGTGTCTGGAAGTGGCCCCAACAGTGTCTGGAAGTGGCCCCAACAGTGTCTGGAAGTGGCCCCAACACAGTGTCTGGAAGTGGCCCCAACACACAGTGTCTGGAAGTGGCCCCAACACAGTGTCTGGAAGTGGCCCCAACACAGTGTCTGGAAGTGGCCCCAACACAGTGTCTGGAAGTGGCCCCAACACAGTGTCTGGAAGTGGCCCCAACACACAGTGTCTGGAAGTGGCCCCAACACACAGTGTCTGGAAGTGGCCCAACACACAGTGTCTGGAAGTGGCCCCAACACACAGTGTCTGGAAGTGGCCCCAACACACAGTGTCTGGAAGTGGCCCCAACACAGTGTCTGGAAGTGGCCCCAACAGTGTCTGGAAGTGGCCCCAACAGTGTCTGGAAGTGGCCCCAACACAGTGTCTGGAAGTGGCCCCAACACAGTGTCTGGAAGTGGCCCCAACACAGTGTCTGGAAGTGGCCCCAACACAGTGTCTGGAAGTGGCCCCAACACACAGTGTCTGGAAGTGGCCCCAACACAGTGCCACAGCCGTCAAACTGCTGTTGAACACATCTGAACAAACCGAACACACACCACGTGTCAAAGAGCGCCAGAACCTCGACTCTTTGCTCTCAACAAGAGGCCGGGAGGCTGCCTCCTCAAAAATTCCCATCGGTCTTCGGTCATCGATATCGGTCTCTCCCACGGCGGGAGGGAGGGAGAGGAGGAGAGGCAGAGGA